GCCCGTGGCAGATCATCACGACCGACATGATCGTCGGCTTGCCAAAGTCTGATGGATTCGACTCGATCCTGGTTACCGCCGACCGCTTTACCAAGCAGGTCCACTTCTCAGCCTGTCATGAGACCCTGACGGCAGAAGGTGCGGCAGACCTGTACATCCGCGATGTGTTCAAGCATCATGGGGCCCCGGCCAAGGTCATATCAGACCGAGGTCCCCAGTTTGCTTCGAAGTATCTCCATGCGGTGTACAAGGGACTTGGGATCGAGCCGGCGCTGTCTACAGCGTTCCACCCTCAGACAGACGGCCAGACTGAGCGCTGGAATCAGGAGATCGAGCAGTACCTGCGTGCTTTCACAAGCCACAGGCAGGATGATTGGGCGAAACAGTTGCCGCTCGCAGAATTCGCACTGAACAACCGAGTTCACTCCGCAACCGGGCACTCCCCTTTCTTCCTGCATCAAGGGTACAATCCTGAGATCCAGGTTCGGATCAATCCGATGTCTGCGATGCCTGCGGCCGCTGATCGGCTCAAGATCCTGAAGGAGATTCGCGACGATACGCGCTCTGCGCTCGAGCTGTCGGCCGAGCGCATGAAGGTGTACTACGACAAGCACGTGCAGGAGGCACCGGTCTTCGCGCCGGGGGACAGGGTCTGGCTTGATGCCCGGAACCTTAAGCTGAAACAGCCGAGCAAGAAGCTCAGTCCCAAGCGCCTTGGACCATATGCCGTGCGGCGAAAGCTCGGAGACCTGGATTACGAATTAGTCCTGCCGAAGTCGGTGCCGGTGCACCCGGTATTCCATGTCTCCTTGCTTAGCAAGTACACGCGCAGCGATATCCCGGGCCGAGAGCCGGAGGAACCGCCTGCGATCGAGGTTGAGGGCGACGAGGAGTATGAGGTTGAGCGGATCAAGGATTCAAGGATCTTCCGGCGTCAGCTGCAGTACCTCGTCAAGTGGAAGGGTTATGACGACTCGCATACGTCATGGGAACTGGCGCGCAACGTTGCCAATGCGCCGGCCCTCATAGCCGACTTCCACCGGAAGAATCCGAACGCCCCTCGTCGACTCAACGCTGCTGCCTTTGGTGGTCTCAACTTTCAGCCGGTGCCTTCGCTGCTAACTGGAGCACGCTGCCGCTCCGGATGGGAGATGGGCAAGGGCGCCTCGCATGAGGTCATGCGCCGTTGAGGGGGGGGTAATGTCATGAGTTGGTACAGCGCCTAGCCGTTCTTTAATTTTTTCCTTTTCGCGGGCTCGAACCCGCGACCTCTGTACTACCTGCCTGATATGGACGCGTCACTATCTACTGTACGATTAGATTAGATGGGGCGGCAGTGCACGGCACAGCTCGGGCCCCGCTGACACAGCCGCTCTGACTCACCGGCCCCCGGGGCCGCGTCGGCATGCTGCGCACAGACCAGCTGCGCACAGACCAACGTGCACAGCCTGCCCTAATCTCCCCATGTATATAAGCCGGCCTCTGCTGCCCTAGGGACCTCAGTTTCGACCTCTTGTCCCTAGGTCAGTAAGCTCCCCTTTGTAGTCCTTTCTTACTTAACTAACTAATATACTATCTTGTCCCTAGCCTTAGGTTCGAGCCTAGCTCACCATCGCTTCGGTAAGAACCAGTCGAACGCCCCCAGCTTTTAGGTTTTCTCCTGTCGCTCGACCCCAAGTCGCGACACGCTCGTTTGTACAAGATGTCTGGCGGTGATGCGCCTGTGGCACAGTCCAGACATTGTTTGGACGTTGTTTGGCTCACTATACAGTTCCTTATTTTCGTACCGTAGAACTCTTGCTCTCGCGCGTAGGCTGACTTCAGTTCGTCCCTTACGGCCTACTGAAGTCA